GACCATGCTTACGAACCGCTGCTGTCCTTAAGGGTAGCCATAGATTGATTGTGCCAGTAACTTTCTGGATGCTTTATTCTCTTCTGAACGTGTTTCTAACTTTTTAACCCTTTTCTTTTCCCCGTCTCTTATGGGATTACGTTCACAATAATTCCCAGGCTAAAAAATACATGAAGTCAAGCACAAAAAGTTTTATTTTTTGGAAAAGGGTTATAAATTAAAATGTAAAATACCACTGTTGCTTTGTGTATTTTGGTTGCAAGCAATGTCAGAGAGCTCATCTTCATTACTTAACGGCGAGAGAAAATACAGGTTCAAACCAGTAATAATGTTTAAAAGTAGGACGTGATTCTGTAAAGTCTCCCTCCATGTGTCGCAGTCGTCACCTCCGTTTTCATCCCCATGGCCATGGCCTGGTTCAGGGCTGCAGTACTTCTCTCCTGGACCTTTGAAGCAGCCTGGCTGATTTCCTGCCTCCAGTCTCTCCCTCCCCAGTAACTCATCTTCCATTACATTCCCCATTGCCTTGTGTTGTTGTTTTTTTAATTAAAATTGGTTGGGGTGACAATTGTTAGCAAAGCCATAAGAAAAAATGAAATAGCGCTATTTGTGACAACATGGATGGATCTTGAGATTATAATGCTAAGCAAAATAAGGCAGGCAGAAAAAGTAGAGAACCAGTTACCTTTCAAAATACACCTGTGAGGGGTGGTCAGGTGGCTCAGTTGGTAAGAGCGCGTGCTCTTAACAACAAGGTTGCTGGTTCGATTCTCACATGGGATGGTGGGCTGTGCCTTCCCCCCACACCTCCCCCACAACTAGATTGAAGGACAATGACTTGACCTGGAGCTTATGGGTCTGGAAAAAACACACTGTTACCCGATTTTAAACAAAAAGAAAAATACACCTGTGAGGCAGTGCAGCCCAGGGGATAACAGCTTGCATCCTAGTCTCAAGCTGCTTTGATTTGAATCTGGGCCTCACCCTCTATCAACTTAGTCATTTTAGGCAAATTACTTAATCTTTTTGTGAATCTGTTTTCCTTCTATTTTTAGTGAGAATTAAATGAGGGCAGTATGTTAATTGCGTAGTCTAATGACGGGTTCAGAGCAGTCAGTCACCATAAGCTTGTATTATTACACTTATATTCAAATACCACCATGTTTCTTCATTTCTACATAATCTAATCATTATCAATTAAATCTGATCATCGATCACGCAGGAACCTATGAAATCTAACCTCAGGCTGTCTTCTCCCTATTCACAACCTTGTCTAAATACATCAGGCAAATTTGTGACTCCAAGTTTTTCCCAAGCTCTTCCTCTGCCATTCCTGTATCTGCAACTAGAAAAGTCCATTCTTCACTCAGGACAACTATAAGGCTATGAAGTGACTAGGATGCTTTTCCCTGTGTGGGGTTTGAGAGAAGTTGACAAAAGTGAGTCATATTTTAGAGGTAAAACAAATAGGACTTCGTGATGGACTAGATAAAGAAATGAGGGATGAAAGAAGAAAGAATGACTTCGAAGCGTAAATCTAGAACAACTGTGCATGTGAAGGTACCATTTATTGATAGGGAGAACCTGGGGAGGATAAGGTTTTGAGGGACTAGTAATAAAGAGATGTGTATTAGTTGGGTAGATATGAAATGCCAGTCGGATATCCAAGTAGATTTGGTAAGTAAGCAGTTGAATGTATGAGTCTGGGGCTTGGGGAATGGTCGGGGCTATGGATATAAAACTGTGAGTCATAACCCTATGGGTAGGGCCAGTGGAGATGACTGAGGAAGCTCTGAGGACCGCAACAATTAGAGATGAACTAGAAGAAGAGAATCCTGTTAAACATAACACATGTAAGTTTCGCCACCCAGTACTTGCTTGAAGTTACTAAGTACCGTCTTATCTATCTTTGTACCTCGTGGTGTTTGTCATTGTCATCGCTGGGGAGCTGCCGGGGGGCTTTTGGCGTCGCAGCCTGCACACAGCTGACTTAACCCGGGTCCTGTCAGCCATACAAATTTCCGATAATGGTTGTGGAATTCATTTTAATTCCAAAAGTGAAGAATGGTGCCTCTTAGAAGTCTCCCGGCCATACACTTTCCTAATTTGGCAACATTTGTAAAACAATCATGAAGGACAAGTCCAGCATGTAGTTTAGGGTGGAATATTGGTGGAAAGATCTACGACTGCTAGAGACAGGCAGACACCCCCTATCCCCAAACCCTTCCCTATCCTCTCCCCCTAGGGATGTACTCCGAAAGGCATGGCCCCAGTGCTCATGAAGGGATGGCAGAAGGCCCGGGATCCCAGCATGGTCCTCGAGGCTGAATTCCAGGGGTCTTGAGAGAGCAATAGCTGCTGGAGCAGATGGGTGATCAGTAGGAATTCCCCTTAGTCCTGGACTGAAGCACGTCTATGTACACAATACCCAATTTTCTGAAAGGCTCCATGGGAAACTTTCTCTAGGCTCTTGTCATGTTTTTCCCGTCGACTTTAACAGTTTAGTATTCATAGGTTTCTAACCTCTTTGTTCCTATGAAGCATTTAAGAATTTGGAAATCGAAACATACCCCTCTTTCAAGTCTCGCCTCTTGCTGCTGTTCTGAGTAGGCTTTCGTCATCCTTCACCTTAGCAAGTTCGATAGCCTT